CATGCATAAAAGGATTTTGAAAAGCATTGGCGGATGGAGCACAATGTATGGAATTATATACATTTTGTATTGTATCTTGATACAATCGATCCAAATGACTGTAATGCACTGGAAAAATATGTGAAGGAAAGGGTAAGTGACATGTAACAAAATAGATATTATTTTGTTTGATCCATTATAGATCCCTCCAAAAACTAACCCTGGTGAAATCATAGAATTTTTTCCAATGTCCAAAGCTAAAGTTCTCACTGGCTGTGACATACATGTGAATGAAGTATGGTATGATTCTTTTTAAAATGTACTAATATGTAATTGTTATTGTATAGGATTGAATGACTGATATTTTATTACTTCTAGCAACAAACTTTAGAAAAGTTATACCTAATTTTGTTTTTTTTAAAATTGTAATTATTATAGCTAAATTTATACCAATAGTAGTGAGTGACTAGTATTTTTATTATTTCCAGCTGACTTAGAAAAGTTACCTAATTTCATTTTTTTAATTTTTAACGTGTGTGTGTGTGTATACTTTCATTTATAAAAAACAGTTAATAAACTAGATGCATATCATTATAGTGAGAGTTGTGAATGTAGCTCTTTTGACTTTGTATACAAAAGCACACCTCTAAACACTGCTGGGTCTGATTACAATAGCATGATTATGATTGCAATTATGATTACACCAAGCTCATTTAAAAATGATTATGATTATACAATTACAGACAAAATTTGTGATCATGGTTGCTCAACTTAAGCGCATGATTACACCTGAATATGCCCCTTTTTCTTATGCTCATGCAGCTGTTCAAATGTTACAACTCAATAGGCAGTGTTTTGCCATACCATAACACTTTGGCACCTAAAAGAAAAGTTGCTTTTGAGTTAAGATCAATTACAACTGATAACAGTTTTTATTTGCTTTGTGCTTTATATTTAGTTAAGCAAGTGGGTATGACTGCAATTATGTTTTGGTCATGAATTATTGTGATTATGACTACGATGACAGACAAATAATTGATTACAACTGTAATTGGACCCAAAATATATCTAAAGTAAAAATCCAATATATTGATGTTGCAGGTTATTATAGTTAGAGAATGCATGTCCATTATCTTCAGCAGAGGTCTTTCTGAATTGATTCAACTCATCTCTGTTATACAAACTAAGTTAAGGAATTATAGTTAAATTCTGTCATCACTGAGTACATACACACCCTTTCATTTATAAAGAAACCATGCAGTTCATACTATAGAGACTGCCTATAAGGCATCATTACAGATTGGTTTGCTAGACACTCTGCCGAGGTCTGCCACTATCATCTAGGGCTGGGTTCTGTACTTGCTTGATGGCCTCTAGAAACTCCAGGTCAGTACAGATACCAGTAGGTTGTGAATATACTTCTAGGACAAAAATTAAAAAAATTATTTAGTGTAGGGTTGAGCCTCTGTTGGATTTTAGTGAACCTATAAAATGAATTCAAACAAGCCCCTGTAGGGTTGCTGGTTTCAAACTATAAATAGATTATTTTTTGGGTTAATTTTATGCCCATCTGTATTACCATATGTGATTATGTGTATTACATGGGTATTATAGGTCAAGGTATCTCTGCAAATAAGAGACTGAAATTAACTGACAATTCTGAAATGACTGACTATGAACCAGTTGGATGTACATCTACTAGTAAAATACAGCATAAAAGAATTCAAGATCACCTCAATGTTACTCTGAGTAAGTACAATCATATTAGCTATACTGTCAATTATTATTGATAAATATTGCAGATATTTGTCATTTGAATGTTGCATTTGGATTGTCATCAAACTCATTTAATCGATGGAAGGCATTAGGTTTAAAACTGGGCATCAATTACATAACACTAGACGATATTAAAAGTGAGGAAGAAAAGGTACAAGATTGTCTAATAAAGATGCTAGCTATACTTGGCTGAAAAAACAAGATAAAGTAATTAATCATACTTGGAAGCAACTGATAGATTCATTGAGAAAAATGGAAGAAAGCGATCTTGCTGGGGAGATAGAAACAAAAATTACTAAACAATGAATTATAGTCAGTCACACGTACATTAATATTAAGCACAATTGTCATCACAATTATTTTACCCTTTTTATGCTTGATTTTGCTACACTATCGCTTAACATTAATTATTGTTTATAATTCATAAAGCAATACAATTATGACGTTAAAAATATTAAAAGGAAATTATTATAAGCAAATAATAGTTTTTCACAAATCATTTCTTGATGGAGGAACAATCTAAAACAAAAAGAAGATAAATACATTATGTCCTCTCCCTCTCTTCTCAGGATCCACTAATCTCTCTCTCCCTTACCTTCACTTGTTGTCTCCTCCTCCTCCTCCTCCTCCTCCTGTTGTTGTTACTGTGTTATTATTAGAGACAAACTGTATTTACATGAAAATTCACTATGGAGGATCATGTACAGTTCTTAATATTAAAAAAATTACTTTCTCATTTTACTCCATTTGTCCAGGAGCAAGATCAAGGAAAACCTGTCTCAGTTTTTGTTCCTTCCTTAGATCAAATTGTGTTAGTTCATCGGATAAATCTCTAGATCTACAAATCATCTCGAGATATTCTTTGGCATCTGAGCAGTTGCTGCTAGCTTGAGCCCACTTCTCACTAATAGAATCATCAAGACCAATGTTCCTCCTTGAGGGTGACCAGCAATTACCGCCATGAACATTAGTAGTATCTGGTGTTGACTCATCTCTTGAATGACAGCTGCTAGTATTCCCTCCTCCTCCAGTACTGCTACCACTGATACTACTCACTCCACTGTCATCAAATACTTCATCTGCTACTCCACCAGTGACTGGGGCATCATGACTACTGAGACTCTGTAAAATAATATAAATATTAATTAATAATTAACACTTAATGTTTAGATAATGCCATAACAGTGTTTATGCATCATTCTATTATTAATATCTGACTAATAATTTATCAGTTATACACAAGGTATACATGTACATGTACACACATGAGGTGTGCATGTGCTTACTGAAGTAACTGCTTCATATATCATTACTCCTTCACCCAATACAAGAACCTCTCAACAGCTTCCTCTACTCTTGTCAATAAATCCTATTAATAATAAATCAATAATCTAACAAGAGGAGAGGGAGAGTACGGGAGGGAGGGAGGGGGAGAGAGACAGAGAGTGAGAGAGAGGCAGAGTGCTTACCCCTGCTGAGTGAATATAGCCAGCAATAGATTGAAGGTTCTGGACACAGAGAGCATCATCCCCGTCAAAGGTACTCCGCTGTGTCTCTATCATCTCAGAGGTTCTAGCCAGATCACCTGATGATAGTTTAAGGTAAGTATCACAAGCTTTCCCTCTGCAATGTGACGGAACCAGCGAGACATTGTATCTACTAACAAGAAACATATCATCATTGATAAGCATTCTATTGCTGTAATATCATTAATTATATTTATTAAAATAGAAGCCAATAAGCTAATTAATACTTAACACGTATAATGTTTGATAAAAATGTAATAATAAATTATGCTTACATATGTAGCTCAAAAATTATTTGCTGGA